ATGATGTCAAGAGATCAGAACATGTTTATGTGCTTTAAATCTCGTGAGAGTTTGAGGGTCGAGTCCAAAACAAATTTCTCCTCTGAATGGCTGTGGATCGGACTGTTTGGTGTAAAGCAGGTGAACGGTGGCGTGGCGTCATAACGTGTACAGGGATTATTGTAAATCTCCAGACACACCGAAACCCATCCTCTTTGTTCAGTATGGAAATTCATGCATCGACCTCCATCTGTGTGGATTAAATATTAAACATATTTGTGTGCTGAAAAAAAACCCTTTGTGTGGCATCTCTCTCATTTTACAAAACACCGAAACTTAGTACAGCTTTTTAAAAATTGGATTTATTGATTGACATGTCCAATACAATCCACTTAAGCATTAGTGTTTTTAAAAAGCATGGAGTGAAGACATGATGGAAAAATGACATGTTTTATAAAAAGATATTAGCAAACTTCATTCAGCGTCGTAAACAAAGAAAGAAGATTTATACATCATATTTTAAAGGCTTTTTCAATCATTATTCAAGTTTGCTAGAGTTATGGGACTGTGTTTACATTCTTACAGAATTTGAATTGAAAAGTTACAGGAAACTGAAAAATCGTGAATGTACAATAATGGTGCCGGTTAACTTCTATTATTGATTTCTTTAACGTTTTGTGGTTTCATTACATGTGGCTGATTTTTCACCTTCAATACAAAGGCTCAAAACAAACTAAGCTGGTAAACAACGTAGCTGTGATTTGATGTTTCCCGTAACTTCACCTGAGTACTTGTGTACTGATGTGGGAAAAACACATAGAAAGGGTTGACGGGAAGTAAACAGTTTAGTGTACCTTTGATAGAAACTGACCTTTGGGATCAATTGTTACAATTTCTGTTCTTTTATTGCACGAAATCCAAGCTTATTGCTTAAAAGTTATGTGTGAGCTAGTGTTCTGCACTCATTAGAAGCCATACTGAAAACTAACAGTCAAGTTTTTTGGTAATTTAGTGCACTTTTGCTACAAAGAATCATTTCCCCTCTCAGACTCACTTCATATAGATTATATTTTCAAATGAATAAAAAAAAAAAAAGACAGCAAGAGACCCAGCAAGGCAGCAATGACGCAGCATCTCTCCTGTAGCTACGAGCTAATAAAGCCAAAATCTTCCTCTGAGGTACAATGAGATTCATCTTGTACTGAGACTAACAAAATAAAAGAAACACTGGTTTACCAACAGGATGGTTTACATACACTGGATTTCGAAGATCAGTTGTAGATCCAGTGGCTGCAGTTGTCTTCCCAGCTCTGAAGCTCGTTCTGACGAAACCACAGAGAAATCTCCCTCTGGGCGCTCACCACAGAGTCGCTGCCGTGGATCACGTTCCTGCTGACACAAGCAGGAATAAAGGATGATATTATAAATCACAGGTTGTGACTGCAGCATAAAAATACAACTCTCGTGTTTTCCCCTCCGAGGAGAATTTAGTCATTGGTGATCTGACCTTCCCACTTCCACGCAGTAATCTCCTCGGACGGTTCCTGGCAGCGAGTCCGCGGGGTTGGTCTCCCCCAACATCTTACGTGCGGTTTTAACCACGTCCAAACCCTGCCACACCTGAACAAACACAAAGGAGGACATCAAAAAGCTGCGGTGGCACCGCACCCTGCAGGGCGGATTACATCAGATCTGACATTTTCAACACATTCACTTTCTTGTACGGAGACAAGCTGTGGAAAGAAATGTCGGCTGATTTCACACATAGAGCTGACTTCTTTTTCTTGACGCCTCATGATGACAAATCTTAACTGCTGTGGTATCGATTGTTGAATCAACCAGGATAAAACCTGTCGTATCCAGAGGACGTGTGTATGTGGAGAAAATGTGCTGAGGACTCACCGTTGCAACAATTGGTCCTGAGCTCATGTAGGCGATCAGTCCTCTGAAGAAGGGTTTACTCCTCAGCTCCGAGTAATGTTCCCTGAGGAGCTCCTCAGATGCCTGATCATCATCCAAACGAGACAGAAACATACTTAGTGTGTGGTGGATTAAACTATGTCACCAGTTTTTTTTTTGTTTTTTTTAAAGGGGGAATGAAAGACTGACATCCAGCACACCTGCATAAGTTTGAGGCCCACCAGCTTGAACCCTTTCCTCTCGAAGCGCCGCACGATTTCTCCAACCAGCCTCCGCTGCACGCCATCAGGCTTCACAGCGATGAAGGTTCGCTCGTTCACCCCAGTCCAGCCTGGAACCAGAGCTCACATGAAAAACCAAAAAACCAGTGTAGTGTTCCAACTGCAGTGTCCAACCATAACACACACACACACAGCAAGGACCAACGAGCATTACACGGAGGCTCCAGCTCAGGTCTGTTTTGCTTGGTGTGTCTCACCAGATTCTTCGATCCGTGCACGTTTAACCACCACATCTTCACCATCACACAGATTTCTCTGTGACCTTCTCTTCGGCCCCATTACAGAGCTCCTCCTTACAGCAGCTCCCGACACGAGCTATTAATAATCCGATGAATCATCTCATTTAACCGCGAAGGAGGAACACATGGAGCCGCAGTGCTCGTTAGCCGCTGCTGGATTAGCGGCTAACAGTGTCAGGAGAGCCGCATGCTAATTCTAACACGCGTGTCACTAAAGTTCGGGTGCTGTTAGTCACAGATCAAAACTCATACAAGACTTCACTTCTGTTAAACACACGCGAGTCTCTGTTAGTTCAAGTGTTTGAAGGTTTCCTGCCTCCAGGGTCGCTCCCTCTCTGCAGCAGCAGCAGCTAGCCGAGGAGTCCCTCTCTGTCCCTGCGGACACTGCGAGCTCATTGTCCGCCGAGAGAACCGAAGAACCACGACCGACAGAGGACATGAACATCACCCACCTGACTGGAAGATGTGAGCGAATATGGACAGAAACACACAGATCATGTCGCTGCACGGACGGAGCGACACACACACACACTCACTGCTCGAGGCGGAAGTAGACGAGGATGACGCAGGGCGCCTAAGTCAGGACGCAGGGACGTTGCTATGAAACGTCCAGCCAATCACATGCGAGCTGAGGAAGCTCCCTCACCGCCGTAAAGAGACAAAAGTTGACGTAATGAAATGAATAGTGAAACTGAAGTCAGAATTGTTTACTTGCTACTACTGATACTACATGTTATTGGTGTAGCACTTTTAAAGGAACGCAAAGACACTTTACGTAGCATTTAAAAGAAAAAACAAGCTGAAGATTGGAGCCACAAACAAAATGTAGTGACAGTGGTGCTTATAAACAGTGAACAAATCCAGCTGTTGAAACCTGGTGCCGCCAGACCCAATAAATGTTGCATTAAAACTCACTGAGATTGGGCTTATTTTACCTCAGATTTATTAACACATCACAAAGATACACATGACATAGAGACGACTGCCGCAGAAGAAATTTAGCAAACAATTAGTTTGGAATTATTCCAGGATTTATCACGAAATGTTCTTGGACAGAAGAAGTTGAATGCCTCTGTCAACACTGCTTTGATCCAAAAAGTCCAAGATTAGTGAACCACAGCCACACAGGAGTATCACACCGCGGTCCCCTCTTTGCTCTGCCTCGCTTGCTCCTGACTGCGGAAATAGTCTTTGTTAAGCCGGACGTCCCTCTTCAAGGGTAAGGTGGGCTCCTCTGTCAGTACGCTGCCCGTTGCTTTCTTGTGCTGAGCCAGTAGCATGGCGCGGAGCAGTGGGGGGTAGGGGACATAGCGCACCGGCGGCTCAGGGAGCGGCTCAAAGTCCATGAACTGCTGCTCTATGTGTTTGGGAATCAGGCGCCAGTCATGGTACATCACCTTGTCCACCTCCTTGACCTCGCTCTCCTTTTTCCCTGATGAGCACAGATCACAACAAAGTTACAGAATGATCATCACGTATCATTTTTTATTTTATGTGCACAAATTTACTTTTTCCTTCTCGAGCATAAACAATTGAAGATTTCTGAGAGAGTACAAGTGGATGTTGATAAAATTTTGCAGCAATGGAAAGTCAAACTAGAACCAACCTTTTTTCACCTAAAAATGTAAATGAATAACCAGCTAGAGATTGAATTCATTTAAAAAGCATGTATAACAACACAAGATTGTGTACGTACAAACTAGTCTGCAACTGAGATTCTGATTATCCACTAATTTTAATTACAGGGTCCAGTCTTACCTTTGAAGGTGAGGATCCCCCACGCTTTGCCATGATCCATGTTCTACAAACCACAAGAAACCAGTCTCAGTCACCACTCTTATTTCTACATCTCTTTTCTCATAACAATATGCAGAGGTTACAGTCTGTATAACAGTGGATGGATGTGGCTCTCTCACCTCAGCTGTGTAGTCCACCTTGACCTTGGTGATCTGCCAGTAGCTCGGCTCAGTGTGGTCCACCAACCAGGACTTCCGGGTGAAGAAACGGCCTACTCCGAACATCCTCATGCCAGCAAGCATGGAGAAGAGGCGGCTCTCTTTTCGGACATCTGTCCAAGCCAGCACAGGCAGCCTCTTCCCCGTGAGAGGACGCTTCATTGTGTCATAGTCCAGGGCGTACTTCTGGGAGTCCCGCGGCTGGGCCTTGAGCTCTCTGTACGCCCGGACCTTCCGAGCCATTTCGGCGATGAGACGAAGTCGCTTTTTCTTCACCATGACTGCGTGGTGTTATAGTCGCTCTTCCCCGAGCCCGACGTGTCCTGTAAGAGAGGAATTTCATTTAGTTACATGTGAACTTCTAGATCTTCTCCCTGCTGGTAACACAGGAAACAAACCCCCATCAGTCTGTCAGCAATTTCATACGAGTCCATCATCACGATAAATGTCTCATTATTGTTGTTGTTTTATCTTTTAAGACTGATTTTAGCTCCTGAGTGAAAGGTTGTGGGTTTAAAGCCCTCTTAATGAGCTACAGACAGACAGATAGATAAATACATAGATAGATAGAGAGAGATAAATAGCAAACTGGGAAATCCCTGTGTTACAGCAGCAAGGTGTAAAATATAAAAGCGGTACATGATATATAGCATATATATATATATAGAGAGAGAGAGAGAGAGGGGTGATAGCAATGTTCATAATATATATAAAACATTCAACAGAACTAAGGTCGATCAATGATGTGGTTATATCTTATCTATTATGTTTTATATTGTATCGATGTATAAATACATTTGAATTGTGTTATATTGCAATTTCATATTTTTATTTTGCTGATATCAACTCATCTCTCCGACATCGACAGCCCTGCTGTAACGAAGCTAGCCTGAGCTAGCCGCTAGCTGGTGTGAGAAGCTAAAAACAACTTAGAGTCGCATCGTACACTGATGACAAACGATCGGTTTTCACGAACTGTTGCTGAACTATCGATCCTGTTCTATGAAACATGTAGAGTGGACATACCTGAAGCTCTGTGTGTGTGTGTGTGTGTGTGTGTGTGAGACTTGTCTCACTTGACCTCCGCAATGCTTGCACCGCTCTGCGGTCCGCACGCGAAAATGTTCCGTGTGAACCGCAATCGTACTTTAGTTCCGCAAGAAGGAAACAGACAAAAGGTGAAATTGTTCTGATTATGAATTCAATAT